GAGGAGATCCACGACACTTCACTGGTGCTGGCATCAAATAGACCTTCAATTTCTTTGTAAAATACAGAAATAGATTTGGCAAATGCACAAGAGAAGCCAATAGAAATGAAAGCACCAACAACCACTGCCCACCCCCAGCCTCCATCTGGGGGGGTATATCCAACTGGACCTTCATTGGACGTTGACATTGTACGTAAAGATGAATTCCAAATACCTGAAGGATATGAAAGGAAAACAGTAGGTAACAAGGAGGTCGATAATAATATACATACTATAAAATTATAAAGATTTAATATCTCCCTTGCAATGTGTTCTCCCTTCCAGAATCTATCCTCTAATATTTACCTAGTTTTTATTTTCTCTAGGACTAACAGGCTCTTCTAAAAATGTCAGGAACGACAGTGTTATCTATAACACACTAGACATACAGCAATCTACAACATGTGGAATAGAAAGTTATCTCAGTAAGTTTGCTTTTCATCCAGCTGTTGAGGTATTTTTTTTTCTATTATGTGACAGGAAGGATTCCTAAATGATAGCTTAATATAGTTTAAATGAATCCATTTCAGAAGCTGGCAGTTTTAAATCAAAGACTTTCCCTTTTCTTGTTAAATCATCCAGTACTAATGAAGAAAAAAAATTAGTAGAGGAAATATATTGTAAGATTTTAATTATTATCAGGTGGGAGAGACTGGGAATAGGTTTACTGGTCCACTTTAAAGAAATTACCTTCTCACTGGTTGAGGTGGCCCACACCTGTTGTCCCAGAGACTTGGGAGGCTGAGGCAGGAGGGTCTCAAGTTCAAGGTCAGCCTGGGCAAGTTAGAGAGATCTGTCTCAAAATGTAAAAGATTAAAAAAAAAAGGAAATAGTTATGTTGAAGAAATTAATAAACCTTTATTAGTTTCTGAATATAATTTTTATAAAGTTTCTAAAAAGTTTTATAAAATTGTGAAATGTTTAGGGTTTGTGCAACTTTTGTTAGATTTAATCTTAGATACTTTTTTTGTTAAGTAAAAAATAAAGTAGTAACTTTTTTTCGAACCCAGGGCCTTGTTTTGCAGGCAAAGCCAGCGGTCTACCAAGTGAGCTATATCCCCAGCCCTGTTAAGTAGTAACTGTAAAAAATATTCTTCTGATGTGTAAACACAATTGACCCATTTAAATAACAGCTTTATTGATAAGATATAATTTGCATATAATAAAATTTACCCTTTCAAAGTGTAAAACTCAGTGATTTTTAGTATATTCACAGAATTATGTAACTATCACCATCTGATTTCAGTTGACGTTTCCAACTATTATTGTCATGGTTGAATCCTGGATCATCCCTTGAAAAGCTCATGTGCTCAGCAATGCAGGAATGGTCAGAGGTGAAATGACCAGATTATGAGAGTTGTAATCCCAGCAGTGGTGGATCCATTCGCTGGATTAATAACTTGAATGGACTACTGGGTGGTACCTGTAGGCAGGTGGGCTTGGCAGGAGGATGCAGGTCACTGGGGGCGTGCCTTTGGGGACTACACCTTTTCCCTGGCTCCTCAGTCTCTCTTTCCTGGGGCTGCCACGAGCTGAGCAGTTTTCTTCTGCCCCTGCACCGGGATGTTCTGTCTCATCTCAGGAAATGAATCTTGGGAAACAGTGAGCCCCAAATAAACTTTTCGTCCTCTAAGTTGTTCTCTTTTATTCCCACAGCTCTACTGAGGTCAAATTGAAGTACAATATGATGCATATATTTGAAGGATGCAATTTGATCAGATTTGACATGTAGGTGACGAATACAATCAATATAAAAACATTTCCAGCCGCGTTCCTGGCGACAAAAACACTCAGGGTCACTCCAGGGGAACTGGGCTGCATGAAATACCTTTTTCTTTGGGGGTCCTGTGACAGCTCCTTTGACCTTAAGTGTCCACAGAAAGAGAGAGAGAGCTAACGTCCTGACCCCTTTTATTGAGGAGAAGCCATTCAAGTGAGGCAAGGGGTCAGGTTTCAAGGGGCTGAGTCTAGCTTCAGGATGTCTGCTGGCAGGAGGCTGATGGACATCTAGGAAGGCCACACCCAAAGGCAGAGCAAGAGAAGGGGACACACAAAGGGCGTTTCCGTGGAACATTCTATCCCAAACAGGCAAAGGGGTAATATCACAAAGAACAGGTGAGCGTAATTAGATCTATGGGGCTGCAGGAAGGCACGCCAATGCATAAAGACACATTCTGCTACTTTGAGGACTGGGGCAGCCGTCTAGGGCCACTATGAATGTGGCCAGATCACGACAAAAGTGACCAACAGAGCCTCTACCAATTACGGGAAGAAAAATGCTGGTCACTCAGAGCGACGACCCCACCACAATTTCCATTACTTTTTTTTTAAAAAAATTTGAAATCATGCAGTTTCCTTCATGATTTAGAAATCAATCAAGATATATAGAACCCCACTCCCACATGTCAACTATTTCAGAATTAAATGGCACACGCTTATAAATATCTCAGAGGGCAAGGAAGCAAGCACAGAAAATTAAATAAAAAGTGCTTTGAAGTAAGGAATAATAAAAGCTTAAAATACCAGGATCTCTGGGATGGACCAGTACCCAGATAAACATTTATAACTTAAAGTACTTGTATCAGAAAGGAGCTAGAAATTAACAATCAAATTATTTTCGAATTATGTAGTAGGAAGAAAAAAATATATGAGCAGAAATATATGAAATAGAGAAGAAATAAATGAGCTAAAATCTGGTAAAAATCAACCAAGTCTAATCAAGAAAAAAACAGGAACACAGTGGCTGGGATTGTGGCTCAGCGGTAGAGCGCTCGACTAGCACGGGCGGGACCCGGGTTCGATCCTTAGTACCACATACAAAATAAAGGCATTGTGTTGTGTCCATCTACACCTAAAAAAATGAATACATTTAAAAAAAAAAGAACACAAAAATTAATAACAATGGAAAGGGAGCTGTCAAAATAACCCTACAGATTCTAAAAATATATTAGGTAATATTACAATTGTAGGCCAACATATGTGATAGCTTACATAACATGGTCTATGTTAGAGAGAAAGTGTATTCAGTCATTGATGAATGAAATATTCTACATAGGTCTGTTAAGTCTAAATTATCAATTGTATTTTTTACTTCTATAGCTTCTGAGTTTAGTTTTTGTTTGGAGGATCTATCCAGTGGTGACAGAAGCATGTTAAAGGTACCCAGTACTATTATGTTGTGGACGATTTGATTCTTAAAATTGAGAAGGGTTTATTTGGTATACATAGATGCTCCATTGTTTGGGGCATAAATGTTTACAATTGTTATGTCTTGCTGAGATATAACTCCCTTAAGCAGTAGGAAATCTCCTTCTTTGTCCCTTCAGATTAATTTTGGCTTAAAGTCCGCTTTATCTGATATGAGGATAGAACCCCCTGCTTGTTTATGCGATCCATGGGAGTGATATGTCTTTTTCCCATCTTTTCACCTTCCGACTGTGAGGTGAGTCTCTTGGAGACAACATATTGTTGGATCTTATTTTGTAACCCAATCTGCCAGCCTGGCTCGTTTGACTGGTGAATTTAGACCATTAAGTTCAAGGTTATTACCGAGATATGACTTGTATTCCCGATCATTTGGGTTTATTTCTAGTCTTTAATTTGAATTTCTTTCTCCTTTGATTGGCTACTCCTTTAGTGTAGTTCCTCCCTCTGCTGATTTCACTTTTTTTTTTTAACTTCATCTTCATGGAATACTTTATTAAAAATGTTCTGAAATGCAGGCTTCCTGGTTGCAAATTCTTTTAACTTTTGTCTATCATGGAGGTTTTTATTTCATCTTCAAATCTGAAGCTTAAGTTTGCTGGATATAGGATTCTGGGATGGCATCCATTTTCTTTCAGAGCTTGGTATATGTTATTCTAGGACCTTGCAGCTTTGAAGGCCTGGGTGGAGAAATCAGCTGAGGTCTGAATTGGTTTCCCCCTAATGAAATCTGACATTTTTCTCTCACAGCCTTCAAAATTCTATTCTTACTCTGTAGGCTGGGCATTTTCATTATAATATGCCTTGGTGGGGCTCTGTTGTAGTTTTGTTCATTTGGGGTCCATGTAAGCCTCTTGCATTTGATTTTCCATTTCATTCTTTAGA